AAAGGTTTTCATCTGCTGGTCATGGGACGATAGTTCTGACGCAGATGGGCAAGGAATGGCTGCCCTGGAGGCTCAAGCTGTCCCAAGACAAGGGAATGTCTCTGGTCGGTCTGTCACATTCCAATCTCTCCACGGTCCTGGAACTCTCATCAGTCACCTCTGCAGACACAGCCTGGCCCTGTCCAGTCTCTGCGATTCCCAACTAGGCCCCTGATGTGGCCAAATCCTTTTTTATGTTCAGGTATCTTTCTCTCCTTGGTGGGATTCATCGTAATGCATCCCCGGGAAGCTCGCTCACATGCCCCACAACCACCGTCACTTATATGGACTCTTCAGGACAACCGACCACATTCTCAAGTTCCAAAACAACAACTGCACCCCTGCTCTGTGTTATCATTTCCTCCTGTACTGATTTAACTGTCCTACAAGATCCTAAATTCCTTCGGGGCAGGGTTTGGCTTTGGGTCTCAGCAAATCAGTATCCTGAGCATGCATGGAACACAGTAGGTGGTCAGAGGAATATGTGGCAAAAGACCCAGTTCCCCTGGCTTCTAAACTGTAACCCAGAAGGAGACAAAATGCAAGCCCTTCCCTGCTCTCAGGAATTTGCAGGCCAGGAAAGCATTTCTTCCAGGATGGCCCAAGATTGGGAAAGCAGCAGCTGCCTTGGGGTGGTATGCCTTACCCACACACATAGCTGAAGCTCACACTGTGATATTAGCTGAGGGCAGAGTTTCTGACCAGACTGAATCAATGGGATCCATGTTTGAAGGGAGATGCTTTAGGAAGGGCTGCTCATTTATGGGGGACTGAAAAATAGCCCCAATTTCCCAAATCCAAGTTCACCCATATCTCAGTCCCTGGAATATATAGACATCATCTTATATAGCAAGGAGATCTTGTAAATGTAAATAAATGAAGGACCTCGAAGTGGGCAGCCTACTCTGGATCATCAGATGGGGCCCTAAATGTAATCACAAGAGTTTCTATTAAAGGGAGGCAAGCGGGGAGAGGAGGGGGGCAAATGAAGAAGAAGGTGTGTGGAGATGGCTGCAGAGATTGGAGGACTGTGTCCAGAGGTCAAACCCTGCTGGTGGTGTCTAGCGGCAGAGTCAAGGGACAGGTTCACTCCTGGAGGGGCTTGACCCACCTCCCTGACTGCTCAGCCAGAGTTTCCCAGGGGATCACTTATCTTTGCAGGTGGTACTGAGATATTCTAGATGACGTGTGGACTCCCAGCCATGCATCTCCTTGGGGCTCCTCAGACCCACTCTAGGCAGAAAGGCCAACAACTGGCTGGGGGGTGGTGGCGCACGCCTTTAATCCTAGCACTCGGGAGGCAGAGGCAGGTGGATCTCTGTGAGTTTGAGGCCAGCCTGGGCTACAGAGTGAGTTCAAGGGAAGGTGCAAAGCTACACAGAGAAATCCTGACTCAAAAACAAACAAACAAACAAACAAACAAACAAAGCAAGGCAGACAACTGACTTTCTTGTGGGCTTGTGACTGAGTGGCAGCCTGTTTGTGCAATGACAAGAAGAGCTCACACCACTTGCCAAGAGGACACGGGAATCACATTCTCTAGGGCCGCCGAACAAATCACTATAAACAACATCAATTTACTCTTTCACAGGGTACCGGCTAGTTTTCTGTCGACTTGACACCAGCTCGAGTTATCTGAAAGGAGGAAACCTCAACTGAGAAAATGCAGCCATAAGATCCCACTACCGGGCATTCTCTTAATTAGTGATGGATGGGGGAGGGCCCAGCCCAGGATGGGTGCCATCCCTGGGCTGGTGGTGCTGGGTTCTATAAGAAAGCGGGCTGAGCAAGCCATGGGAAGCAAGCCAGTGAGCAGCACTCCTCCATGACCTCTGCATCAGCTCCTGCCTCCAGGTTCCTGCCCTGCTTGAGTTCCGGTCCTGATGATGGACTATGATGTGGAAGTGTAAACCAAATAAATCTTTCCTCCCTAAGTTACTTTGATCATGAAATTTCATTACAAAGATGACGCCAGCGAAGACACACAGGCTGAAATCAAGCTGCGGTGAGCCCTCCGAGGGCTCTGGGGATCATCTTTCCTTGCCTCTCTTAATTCCCAGTGACTTCTCATGTACTTTGGCTTAGAGTGACAGAACTCCAGGCTCTGCCTTTTTTTCTACACCACCTTCTTCCCTGTGTCTCCGTGAACCCAGACACCATCTTCTTTCTCTTATATAATGCCAATATTTGAATTTAAGGCCGAAATCAAGGATGATTTCATTTTAAAACCCATGCCCAGTTACACATGTGAAAATCCTATTTCCAAATGAAAAACAAAAATATCAATGGAAACACTGCAGTGAACTTTAATCAGGCTGATAGATTTAAGCTAAATATGAAGAAAGCTGGCCTGGGGTAGGTGGTACAAAAAAAAAAATCTTGCACTCGATATTGGTGAAATATTAAGGCCACTCCATGTAGTTAAAAGGGAGATTTATTTAATGGGATAACTTAGAAATGAAGGGATAGGTAGGTGGCGGGTTCTGTGAAAGACGCAGCACAGTCCGGTGGTGTTCTCTGGGAAACTCTCCTCGGTCTACCTCTTGCGTCCCCAGTCCAAGCAGGAAGAGAGGGGGTGCAACCGGATCTCGGATCTCGGGTCTTCAGGGTCCTCTCTTGGCCCCACCTTGTAGGCGTGACAGTTACCGAAGCCTCAATGGGGGTTGGAACTTCCAGATCAAGGTTGGAATGGCTACCCACTACATCTCCCCCTTTTGTCTAAATAAGAAGGTTCTAACCTAATACAAGACTATATACAAAGGAATGGTTATCAAATATTGTCCAAGAATAATGAGGGATAATGACCTAGATAAGATGGAACTACAACCAATGCGAACAATATCAAGCAAGAAACACATACTAAAATCCAGAGACATCTAGAGCGTAGGTAAATGGCATGTTATAAAGATCATTCCAAAAGGTATCCTATCCTAAAGAACCTGAATCTAATACTTAATATGTTCTATCTAAGATTATATATATATATATATA